CTGCCTCTTTTAAGATGGGGCTTGCACTTCGGGGTTTAATATGTATTTCTATTAATTTTTCAAAGTAGAAATGTGTCCCCCCCCCCCACAATGAATAAAGCCAACCCACATAAACACTTAGTCCTACTTGGCAGTTCTGGACGCAAAACCCACCTTGTACACTAAGCCCTAATGAAGCCAATTTGTCCGTAGCGGATGGAGGCAGTACTAAAAACGGATATATATAGAAACACAACTTAGGATGTTGCGGGTGAAAAAGGCTTTCCCGCAAAAAGAAGAAGATAATCTCGAATCTTTTCAGCACTTTAAACCTCAGCAACTACTGACAAAAAGACATGACCAGAAACACCTTTCAAATGCTATTCTAAAATGGGAAGTGACTTCCACAAGAGGGGCAAGCATCTGTAGAGAGCCTTTCTGCCGCTTGCGACTTCTGAGTCTTCAGAGAAGCGACAAAAGATGGATTTCTAGATTGCCTATGCCAGCTCCTCCTTTTCTTGGAAGTCGCCGGGCTCTCAATGTGGGAGCTGCTACTAGCTGTGAGAAGCAGCAGTTCCTGGCAGAGGCGCAGCGAGGATGGGGGTCATTAAACAGACAGCGCTGCTGGGTAACTCCCATCTAGTTGCAGCTGACCTGAGATCACAAGAGAAAAAGCCATTCTGCTCTGTGGGGAAGGAAAAGGCTAGAAGGAACGAAGGAAAGATGGGGCTAGGAGAATGGAAAATAATATAAAATTCAGAACAAAACTTGCTGGAATTCTCTTTAGATGATAACGCTTTTTTCATTTAAAAGCCACTTAAATGGCCGATGGCCACTGGCTAGTCTCAGGATGCTCCACCAGATGCAGAATATCCACCAGAAAGTAAGATTTAAACCCTGAAACATCAGTACTATAATATCTGCACTGGCTTCCCAGTACTTTCCAAGCACAATTCAACAACACCTTGGTTTTGGCCAATAAAGCCACCAACTATGGCCTCTACATAGGTAAGAGACAGCATCCTCAAGATGTTATATTTTGTTTTGCGGTGATTTTTAAGATCAACCAACAGGAAACTTGTTGGCTCTACTATTTTCAAATCCATATTGAAAGGTTCTCAGTGGATGCCTCAGGATTGTGTGAGTTCTGAAGAATCAAACTCCAAATAACTCTAGGATAAATATCTTCTGGAAGCACTGTAACACTTCCCTGTTTGTGTTAAATTCTAACAACCGGGCCAAGAACTGGAATAATTTTAATTGATGGTTCGTTTCTCACGCACACAGTCCCCTGAAACTTTTTGACACCTGCCGTGAGTTCTTAGGAAGGGCCAGGTAATAAATTTAAATAAACAAAATAACTTATGAATATTATATTGCCAAAATCCTTGAGCTAACATCAGTACAATTCTCAGCCGGGGGGAAACTGCAATCCTTAATACAGGGTACCGTATTTTTTGCTCTATAAGACTCACTTTGTCCCTCCTAAAAAGTAAGGGGAAATGTGTGTGCGTCTTATGGAGCGAATGTAGGCTGCGCAGCTATCACAGAAGCCAGAACAGCAAGAGGGATTGCTGCTTTCACTGCGCAGCGATCCCTCTTGCTGTTCTGGCTTCTGAGATTCAGAATTTTTTTTTTCTTGTTTTCCTCCTCCAAAAACTAGGTGCGTCTTATGGTCTGGTGCGTCTTATAGAGCGAAAAATACGGTAATTATTTATGTTCCTTTCCTAACTAACTAGGGAATGAAGAGAATTTGCAGACTGCGTGAAAGTAAGAATAAGGAGGCAAGGAGCTGCCCTGGGTCTGCTTTGTAATAATATGTTTTCCTGACCTCCCCCTCTTTTATTGTTTGGTTTAAGGATTAACTGTGTTTTGCTTAAAGATTACAAGGCTCTAATTTTGAAGAGTAAAAAGCATGCAAGACAGAATAATACAATTCAAAATAACAAAACAAAAAATAAAAAATCCAGAAAGCCTAAAATGACATTAGCTGAAATCTGCTGCCACTTCCATCTATTTTGCTTCTCCAGTTCAGATATTTAATACGCAGTCACGGGATGCCAACTGGCACACTTCCTTGCTTTTGCTTTGCTTCTCTCTCCCTTTCCACATTACTTCCTTATCTTGCCTGTTGGACTGAACTTTCCTCTTTGCCATCCCCACCTCATTATTTTATGTGCCTTTTCTTCCTCCCTCCCTCCCATTTCTGTGTCTTTCATACTTTGCATGCTGCACAATTCTCCTGATCCTTCCAACGGTGCACAAGGCTCAGAAAGGCACTCACACTGCCTAAAAGGTGGGATAGCTCCCTTCTCAGGTGCAAGAATCTCTAAACCTTTAGGGACTTGAAAATCTGTAGCAGAAAGTTACATACTATAAATCCACATCAATGCATTTTAGACTTGCTTGGACGCTGAAAGATAATTTTAAAATAATATATAAAAATGATGCTTCTAAGATAACAGCTTTTAATGTTACCTGTCTGTTCCAGAATACCCAACTGTGGCTTATTCCCCTACTCTGCCACAGTTTGATTGTTGCATGGTCGTTTCAGAACAACCATCTCAGGATTATTGTTGTTTTTTTCAGGGTGTTTTTTAAAAAATATATATATTAGATTTGCCACAATAATAACAAAAACCACAAAGCAGAATAACACACAAAAACAGAAAAAGAAAACGAGAAAAAGAAAAAGAAAAATACATCAATGAACGAAAGGGGGGGGAAAGGAACAATAAACAGATAAACAATAACAACAAACTTAATTCTTTACAAATCCAACCTTTTAAACATCTTGGTTGACTTCTTCTAGTCCCTCCCTTCTGAGTTTCCTTGTAGTTTAAAGTAACAGCTTTCCAATATCATTACTGAACTAAAACAATTTCCGATTATAGTCCATCTTATTCACATTTCTTAATATTCTAAATCCCATTTATTTAATTATAACTTAGTTTAATCCTAGGCCTATTTGTTTCTTTCAAGTAATTTCTAATCTTTTATATTACAATGTTTTTTTCAGTTTTAAGGTATAATCTACTTTCGACAGCTCTGAATTCTCATTCCCCTTTCTTAACAGAATAGACTTATTTTTTTCTTCTTAATTGTTTAAACCAATTCATGAACCAAGAACCTGTACATTGACCACTAATAACGCAACATGTGTTGTAGATATTTTTCCACATTTATTATGTTATTTTTGTGATATACAAATGACATGAGAAAACTTGGTATACTTGTTTGTATGACATTATTCTTGCTTATAAAACCCAATAAAAAATAACAACAAAAAACACGTTATGACCTTTTTTAAGGGGGGAGCACCCAGCGGATACATGTTGAGCTTTTTTAAGGGCAAACTGCCCCCTAAAAAAGCTACTCTTCTTACACTGCCACACTAATCACCATGCCGCCTCTGCCATGCAACACAAAACTTTGTGCTGACCGCAGCCCAGAGTAACATGCCTCTGTGCTGCAATGCTACAGAGGTACCAGAACTCAGTTCCACCTGAAAAAAAAGCCCTGCTTAAGACGACTAATCTAAGAGAGGTGAGAAGCAGAAGCAGAAGCAGAAGCAGATATTGCAGTCCTGAGCAAATTAAAGCTGAAGGTCTCCCAAGTGCTTACAATCACAGCTGGGACCATGTGCAGATGTATACACAAGACCTAGTTGAAAATTCCTTTAAAAAAAAACACACCAACTTGAAGGAAGTAATCCAGCACACAAGCCCCAATGGCCACATGCTGTCAAACAGGTGGTGGGTACCTTCAAATGACGGTGCCATGAAACAAGAGCTTGAAATATTGAACACAGCGAACAAGGAATATAAAAACTCTCAGCACACTTAACATTCCTTTAATTGTAACCTCACCTCCCTAAACAATTGAAAGACAGTCAACTCCTCATCCTGAAAAGCAGGAAGTGGGTTCCCTCCGTAACAACTGGGTGAGGAATTTTGCTGTGTTTCACATAAAACACTGCCCACAACCAGTGTTCCACAAGGTCTGTCTTGAGCAGTAGCTAGCCATGGCACATAAAGCAAACCCAGGAGGCACAAAGCCTTAGTTCTTTCACTTTCTGTCCTTCTAGGTTCTCTGCAATTAGTATAGAATAAAGAGAAAGCACTGGATTTATGGCACTGGCCCCAAACAAACTAATTTAGAGCTCTTCTGCCAGTGTGGCTTTCTGTTTCATTATCATGCCTCTGTAAGCATAAACACCTCCCACTGTTCCTTCCCCCATCCTTTCCCCTCACCTCCAGAAGATGCAAAATATATTGCTCATGGTCCAAAGGGCAACAAGCTGAGAATCAGAGTTGCCGGAAGATAAGAGAGGCAGCCAATTCATTAAAAACAAATGAACGGAAAAGGCACAATAGACAGTTCAGAATGTGCTCAAACACACCACTACAGAGGGCTTATTGCAGAGTCAAGGTTGTGAAAAATATAAATAACCAGTTCCTGGAACATGGGTTGCAGGATGCAACTATCTTTTCTTCCCACCATGTGCTCCTTAGAGTGGGAAATCGCTAACTCTGAGTTTTTACTTCTACTTCTTGAGTCCTAATCCCAACCAGTTGCCATTTCTCAATGGCTCCCAACACTTGATTTCCAGGCAGGGTTCAGTCCTAGCACCTCTCAATTAAAAACTCCCTAGAAGATTGGGGACGTGGGTGGCGCTGTGGTCTAAGCCACTGAGCCTAGGGCTTGGTGATCAGGAGGTTGGCGGTTCAAATCCCCGCGACGGGGTGAGCTCCCGTTGTTCTGTCCCAGCTCCTGCCAACCTAGCAGTTCAAAAGCACACCGAAGTGCAAGTCGATAAATAGGTACCGGTCTGGCGGGAAGGTAAACGGTGTTTCCGTGCGCTGCTCTGATTTCGCCAGAAGCGACTTAGACCCAGAAAAACTGTCTGCAGACAAACATAGGCTCCCTCGGCCAGTAAAGCGAGATGAGTGCCGCAACCCCAGAGTCGTTCGCAACTGGACTTAACTGTTAGGGGTCCTATACCTTTTAGAATAATGGCCGGATGTGAGGGCGATCTGGCTGCGACATCTGTCGCCCCATTGATCGCCAATGTTGATTTGGCTGATTGGCTGGCTAGGCAGGTGTCCCCTTCCTCCCTCACCGCTCCATGTGCGTCCCTCCCGAAGCTGCATGCTAAGTGGAAGAGGACGACCATCCCAGATAGGAGTGTACCATTCTTTGGTCAAGGGTATACGATAGCTGCGCTCCCCTGCTAGAACTTCCAAACAAGCTCAAGGTCCATTCGTAGAAGAATGGCATGCAAGGCATAAAACCAGAAAACACATCGGGAACAAAATCTCTTCTCTCACTTGCATACTTGGATCTCTTTCAAACTGATTCTGGGCTTCCCCAGACTGGTGTTTTATTGCAGATGTACTTGACACAGCAGTGCATTAGTGGTGGGTTTATTTTGCTTTATTAGTTGTCCTGAGATGCTTCTCCAAGGCTACCACATTATTGCTGCCTAGAAGACAGCCCCCACCCCGAAAGTGGAACGAAGTTACAGGATTTCAGCAGGAAATGAAGAGGTATGACCGCCCCAAAACATTTGCAGGCACAAATAATCATGAATGTGCAATAAAAAGGACATGGTTGGGGCTTTCCTAGAAATACCCAACTGGCTTCTACACTTCACAAACATTTTTTACCCAGGGTGAACATACTACACGAAGTGGCAAGAAAACAAGAACCCTTTCAAGTGAAAATTATATTCAATGAAAACCGAAACTCTTCCTTCTGTGATGTTAGATACAGAAAGACCAGTAGCAGATTTTGCTCTGTTCTCTGGAAGTCCTTGATCCCCAAACTTGGTACTGATTTTTTATGACTTGCTCAGGAGTCATCATCTATTTTGAAAACATTTCCTTGTATTTCCTAAGAAATGTTTTGCTACATGCCCTTGCGCATTCTGCTATTTACCAAACAAAATTCCTATGTTGTTCTCAATCTTTCTTAAATACCTGATGGAAACTATGTTTCATGAAATTTTCATTCCATTTACAAACAAGAGACAAATAGGCAGCTGTGTCATTTCCTTGGGGGGGGGGGGACCCCAAGCAGCAGCACCCATATTTTAATAGGAATGCCTCTCAATAATAAACCAGTCTTTGAATCTCACAGTACTCTCTCTCAGGTTGAAAATTAAAAAGAAAAAAGGGTGAATAAAGATCAAGAGGGAAGCCCATCTGCAATACATGACAGTCTTAGGTTGGAAATTCAGAAACCTCTTTGCAAACTAAGGGTTTAGGAGACCCAAGTAGTTACACACGAGCTATGGCTTCTCCCTTTGAAAATATTGTTATGAATGCTGGCTTAGCCATGCCTTCTGTCACGCAAATTGCCTGATAGATAGCACACAGCCCTCGGGAAATATATCTTTATCAAGGCTGATTTTTTCAGGATGGGCAGCTGATATTTTCACAAGGGGAGAGGCTCTGGAAACGTAGCAGAGCTGTGGGGCTGCTCTGAGGTCAGTGTGTGAACAGCAGCTACAGCTTTTATTTTAGGAAGCGGTGCAAAGAAGGGGTGGTAGCATTTCAGCAGAAGGCACCTAAGGGCGTGCAGATTCCTTTGTGAATCTGATGTGGGGCAATGAGTTTATTTCATGCTAGGAGTGCTAGCCTCTTTGCTTCCACCTATTCTCTCTTTGTAACTAAACACAATTATTACAAAAAAAAAAACATTTTTAAGGATCAGATGGAGGAACCCCAAAAGGAAGCCAAACCTTGCTAAGTTCTGAATCTAGATTTTCTCAACGCCCAGGGAAGTGGGGAGTGTGTAACAACAGGATTCAGATCACTACACATTGAAAGAATATGGTTTTTTTAGGGGGGGACAGTTGTTCTTGTGGGAGAGCTCTGTGTGCGCACACTGGTCAAAAAGATTGGATAGTGAGAGGCATGACTGCTGTGTGCACCAATGGTCAGGGTTGGCCCCCACAACCATTTGCATGCATTATTAGGTGGGACTTGATATAACATAAAAGCCAGATGTGACTTAATCTAGCACTGATCAGATCTCTTACAGGACAGAGAGTAGATGAAACAGATAATCTGGCAGCCCTCATATTAGCAAGGCTGAGGATTAATGTTAGATGACAGGATAGGCATACAGTTGACCGAAACCAAACTGGGTAGCGGTTGGGGAACATGCTTTCTCCAGGAAAAAAGTCTCATGGATATTCTACCACCTACTTGTAAGATTTTGACTATGGCTATTTCTAGCTGAGCAGTGAAGTTCAAGGAATCCTAGCTGGAAAATACCATACTTTTATTTGTAGAGCTTACTGAATGTGGGGTGGGGTGAGGAGGCAGGAGGCAACGACTGTTTCCTCCTTTTGGTTGTTTGCATACTTATATCTGAAAACCTAACAAACACTTTTTTCTTTTTAAGGAATGTGATACGGAAAGCAACATTTGGTATTTGCCAAAGCAACCAGAAAATAAATAAATATAGGCAGCTGAGCTTGTGTCCTTTATAAGGGCAGGAGAACATTTTTTAAATAAAATACACTTGTTCTTATAAAAGATTAAACTAACCTTGTAAAAAATAAAAATGCAGGCATGCATTTATTATTTTTTTTACGTTCTATGTTTACCTACTTTCTAAATCAGAATATTATTAGTATATATTTATTTATACCCCACCTTTTTCCTCGATGGAACTCGAGGCTAGCATTTGTTAGTTTACAGAAAGGCAGAGGTTCATCCAGGTGTCACACTTATCTGGGACCTCCACCTTTTAACCTGAAGTCTACTGAAAATCACCAGTGGCGAGGGAAGTGTACTCGTTCTAATGGGTGAGAGATGAGTTGCCATTCAAAACAGGCTCTGAAGCCAAGTCTTCGCAGCCTCCTTTAAAACAGTCACTCTAATTAGCACTGGTTTGGTAAAGAGAAAGCTATGCTTGCTGCAGCAGCTATCTTAATGCACACCAAGTTCAAGCATGGGATACTTACATTCCTTCCACCCCTGTAAACAGCCCATGCAGAAACTTTGCAGGAGAACAGGCCCACAGTTGCCACAAGCCAATGTAAGAAGCTGCACAAAACTCTGAACTTCTGCATCCCAACAGGAGCGAAGTACAGGAAGGAGAGCAGCTAAGGACACAGGAGCTCTGATTCCAAAAAGGATTTGCAATTTGATATTAGTCCAAAGAGAAAAGTAACCACTAAAGTTCCTAGCCGATCTTTACAACTGATTATTATACGGCTAACAAAATAAGTTCTATTACCACATTCCCCACCCCCAGCCCCGGTTATAGTAGACACAAAAAAATGTGCCATGCACGCCAAAGAGAATTTTCATACAATTTCCACTCTTAGTGGTTATAGAAACCTCTTTAAAAGACATAGCGAAATTAAGTTTTGCCTTATGCAACTTCCAGTTGACAAACATACAATGCATAACATGCTTCTGGTCATAAGCAAAGCAAAGCAAATAGCTATCATATTTATTTATACAAAGAGGGCAACTTAAAAATATATATTATTTCCTGAAATTTAGTTTTCATCCTTGTCAATACGGTTTGGTGTTTAAGCATGATTTGCTACTGAGAAATGTAGCTATGCTTGTATATATTTTCAGGGAAATGTTTGAAAATTTGCACTTAAGTTTCCTGATGAGCTCAGAACCTCCCTCCCTGCTTTCTTTTCCATGTTAGCCACTTTATATCCTCATAGAGTCTGAAGGGACACGCAAGCGTTATCTAGTCCAACCCCCTGAATTTGAAAATTCCTTTGAATGTAAGCAAGTGAAATGTGATGGAAGGCAAAATCCGTATTCTTTGCCGTATTCTCGTAATTTATTTACTGTTGCAGAATGAAACTAGCTGTGGCTATAACCAGACGTACATAGGTAAATTTAAGAGAAGACCAGAGCTATGTTTTCCCTGCACTGTCGGTGGCAGCAATTAATTCATGCATGCCTCTCCGCTGCTGGAGAATGAACTGTGTCCAGGGCAGAATATCTCCAGTTTTGTTATCAGTAGTGCTGATAACACCAAGGTTGCAGGTTCGATCCCAATATGGGACAGCTACATATTCCTGCTAGATGACCCTTAGGGTCTCTCCCACCTCTACAATTCTATAATTGTATTACACTAAGCCAAGTTCCATACAAACAAGTTAAAAGCTCATTTCAAATGTATTTATCAGTGTACACGCCCCTTTCAAAGTAGGCTTTATTCTTCTTGGCTAGCAAATTATTTAGTTAGCCTAGTAACTGCAGATGTTGCAGTTCATGATTTCTGCTGCATTGATACAAAACATATTCCTAAACCTAAAATGAGTTTCCCCACCATTTCCTCCCAACCAACCTTTATTACTTTCTCATATACTTGAATGCTAACAAACAGTACCGCTTCTGTGAGGGCAGTTGATCAAAAAAAGTAAAATATGCTTCCGAGAGATCAATATTGTGCCAATGCAGATCTCCAGTAGCTTACAATACCATGCCATGATCATCATAAGATCATTTCTAGACGTGCGAAGGAAATAAAAAGGCCTTACAGTGCTAAAAATTCCCATCATGTTTGCTCAGCTGGCATTTGTATTTCTCCACTGGAAAGAAATCATATAGAGTCAGGAGAGTTGAATTTCTATCTATTATGGCTTGACAGTGATAGATGTGATTATTACAAGTGTCTTTTGTAACATGGGTTTTCCATTCAGTAGCATGGAGAAGTGTGCCCATTTTGTTTTAAGAGGGATTACACAGATACATTCATTTAAGCTTATCCAAGCTCCACGAGAGTCCCAAACAGATCAGTTGCTAGGGAAGCTTTGCATATGATTGTTAGTTATTACACAATTGACTGAGCTGCAGTTGTTCTCTGGTTAACTAGATGCTGAATTCTGATAAGCCTCCCATCCTTCAGTGGTTTGGCTACCAGATCTAGGAATCACAGTGAAATCTTCTGCATTGCCCCCGGAACTGACTGTTTATTGAGGTTCACACTCCTACTAAGCAACCATAGGGAAGTCAGCACTATTTAGCACAGCCCCCTTGAACAAATCAGCTGCAGAAATAAGTGGGACAAGGGTAAATATATAGGGTTTGATGGGAAATATTCTCAACTGAAATATCCTTTCAACCTTTTATATATTTGAACCATGTTCAAATATATAAAAGGATGTCACATAGAGGAGGGAGAAAGGTTGTTTTCTGCTGCTCCAGAGAAGCGGACACGGAGCAATGGATCCAAACTACAAGAAAGAAGATTCCACCTAAACATTAGGAAGAACTTCCTGACAGTAAGAACTGTTCGACAGTGGAATTTGCTGCCAAGGAGTGTGGTGGAGTCT